CTGCACTGACCCATGCCCAGAGGCAACTGGGCTGGGTTTTCAGACAGGCTCGTTGTCTGTAGACCATCTAAAGACAACGTTACAAGAAGCGTAGCCTGAAGATGGCTGCAGGCGCCAGATGCAGTGTGGGACGTAGAGAAGCCTGCCCCTTCGTGACATCCTCTCTCAGGGCTACACTGAATAGCAATGCATAGCACTGCACCATCGTGGCCAGGTCTTTGCCCCAGAGCAATAGCAGGGCCAGCAACAAAGGAGCCATCCGCCAAGTAGCTCTGTGCAGCTACGTACCAACTGATCAAATGCTCCCACCCACTACACTGAAATGAGCGGCAGAGTTGGATGAATTTTGAAATGGGAGGGAGACCAGCCCCAGGGGGGCAGGCTGGTCAATCAGCAGCGTGGGGGGCTTCCAGGCTGTTGGAGTGCATGGTCCAGGAGCTCCAGTTCATGCCTTGCAAAGCTGCCCAGTGAGCAGAGGGAAGAGCAGAAGCAACCCCCAGTGTTTGGTGTTTACCCCGTTGCATGGTCGAGGAGCGGAAAGGATGTACACGCACACACACACCCTTCAATGACTGGCTAGTTACTCACAATTCGCTTCTGCTATTTTCAGTCTTTGGGTGATTCAGCTCATTAGCGTTGGGCGAGGCAGAGGAAAGCTCACTCAGCTCTCAGGGCAGGAGTGATTCCCAATGTCCTACCTGCCTGCCATAGAGCGCAGGGGCTGTGTGTGTGTTGTGGGGGAACACAGAAAACTCTGTCAGGTTCACGTCACAGCGTTTCCTCTGCATGTGCCCCTCAGGGAGGGAGTTTGGGGCCCAGCGAGGAGCCTGAGCAGGCAGCCTCCAAACCCAATGCATGCCAGTCTTTGGCAGGAAAAAGGAATGATTCAGCCCTGCCGTGCACTAGCCCCTCTGCAGAGATGGCAGCTCATGCACAACTCCCTCAGCCCCGCTCCCGTGAAAAGACCCCTCCCCAAAGTCGGCACAGTGTTAGAGCTGCCTGGCACGGTGTTAATTCCCGTGGGGATATCCATTGGGATCAGAGTAGAGCAGGCCCTGCCCCTGGAGCAGAGGGGCATGTGCAGGATCTGGGGGAAGGAGACTATGCCATGAAACTACTGCTCCCCTCCCCTCTGTACCCCACACTCCGTTCCAAGGCACGAGGCGTGCAGGGCAGCTGGTAGACCCTGCGCAGGAAGGCAGACCTACCATACACACAGGTGTTAGCACTGTACAGACCAATGCAGAGTAATTCCTGCAAACTCCTGCCGGCAGGGACATCTTGCCCAGAAGATAGAAAGCTTAGCCCTGCCACAATGGGGAAGAACAGACGACAGCACATCTTGCTGTAGGAGATACGGCAAGTCCTGCTACCGCACTCTGGCTTTATTTCCTTGTCTGCAACATGGGGATAATAAAGCAATCTATGCGTGAACAATGCAGTGTAAGAGTTAAGGATTAGGGCGGAAAGTTTCAGTGGTGCCTATGGGCTTTGGATGCACGCTTCCCATTGTAACTGACCTTATGTGTTTAAACTGGCTTTGAAACTAGCTCTCAGTGCTTCATTTCACTGAAGTGCAGCTGCCTCTGGAGTGGCACAGAGATTCAGTGCACAGCAACACTAGCCCAGCCCAGATTGGAAATGGGGCTAGAATTGTATTTTAAAAGCCTTGCGCCTGCAAAATACTCTTAAAGCCTCAGTCATCGTATGACAATAACAGCAGTCATGCTGCAGCATAGACAGGAAAAGGGCCTCTCCTCAGGCCCTTGGATTTTCCTGCTTTAAAACAAGTTACTGACTAAGGCATGTCCTCTGTAGTCTAAAGTCACTAAACAAATGTATGCTTTAATGGCATCCAGGCCTACACTGACTACATGGCAAGCCCCATCCACCCGACAGAGAGGCCTTGAACTTAGGCTGCACTCCATAATTGTTCAGCTCTGCCAGCACTGGACTGGTGCCTGCAAGGGGCTAACTGTCAGCCCAATTCCGAGGCTAACAGCAGTTAGTTCGAGCCAAATGCTGGCCTTGTTTCTACCCTTTGATTTCAGTGGGCTGCCAGGGCAAAAGTGAGGGACGGAGCTAGACCCTTGTTTGCCAATGTGCTAAGCTGGTTTCACGAATGTGGCTTAAGGCCATTTTCAAAGCTGGCATGAGGCTTTCCAGGCTCGGGTTAAAGACATAGCGTGTGGGACATGAAGGGCGCTAGCAAGGCAACCTGAATCACACTGGCGGCTAGCTTATTGCCAAAGGGTTCTCCAGGTGTGCTGAAGTGAATGGTGCCTCAGGGCAGCCTCGAAACTTTCTGCCATAGGCTGCCCCATGCAGTTCACCAATCTTCCGCTGACCTATAGAACAGGATTTTTTAAAAGAACTCCTTAAGTACTCTGTCATTACAGCAATGGGAAAGAGTCCTTAAGGGTTATTTTTAATCCACAGATCATTGATACGCTACGTGGCATTGTTAAGATCTCTCCTGTCCATTTATGCTCTCTCTGCAGATTACTGACCCGACTGCAAACGTTCACATCCTCTAGATAGCTCGTTGGAGTATGTATGTTGCATTAAATATAGGTTATGTTTCTTTTAGGCACCAGCTTTACCACATTCTAAAATTGCCACAGAACAAAATTTCTCGGAGGCTCTCATTGTCTTCTGCTTTCTCGGTTGCTACTAATTAACGTCTGGGCTGCCTAGTCATGCCGTTTATGGTCATCTATATTCATGTGTCTGAAGGAAATAAAAATAAGGATATTTCCTGTGACCCTACGGGTTCGTCTGGCCCTGATGCTCAGGGAATTCCTTGGGATTCAGTCCCACGGCGTCAAAGAAAGTCACACTGGAGCTCAGTGATCAGACTGTGAGCTCAGCCCTGGCTCACACCCCTGGGTCTTCTGCTGTCACCTGCCACACCCACGATATCAGGCCTGGGAACTCTTTGTTAGCTTCACCCACCTTCACAATTGTGCCTCTTTCTGCAGTGAGTCCACTAGTGGAGCATCCTCCCAGTCCCAGTTCGTGATGCCACCTCTTCCTTCTTCATAGCTCTCCTAGGTACATTTCTTCTTGTTTCACGTACAGGAAATAAGTTAATACAGGCACACCCTAGCAACCTTAGAGCTGTGCATTTGCTTGCAGCTGAGTAACCAAGTGGTTTTATTATTGTAACCCTTGCCCTAGCTCATCCCTTCTCGTTTGTTTGCCATGGCCTTCAACTGCTGTGTGCTAGGAATCCTGTAAGGACAGAGGCAAGGTCTTTGTCTTTTAGGACTGCTTTAACCTGGCTAATACACTGTATAGTGCTCTACAATAATGACTAATAATAACTGTAACATTAGATTCACTAGCCTTCTGTAATGTCCAAATGAAAGACGAGCATGGCGGGGAGGGGGGTGTGTGAAAAACCAGTGATAAACAGCAAGCTCTGTTGTGAGCCTTAATTCACATTTGCAAAATGCTTTGAAATTGTTGGGTAAAATACAATTGATATGTGCCGAGTATTACTGTTAACAATGCTCTGGTTAATTTAAAGCTAACTTTGATTAATGTTTTTAATATCTCTCTGTTGCCCTATTTCTGTAGCTACTTGAAGCATCCTTTCCCCCATTCCCAAGATATTACTGAAATGAGAACTTCCTGGGTAAATATTTCAAATTAATAAATTATATTTTAAAGTCCATTAAAAATCGCTTGACATTTTTCACAGGAATAAAAACACTAAAGTAAGTATCCTGGTAAAATTTCAAGTTAGGAAATTCACTTCTGCCAAAATAAATGCCCTTGCAGTGTCACATGGATATAGTTGTTCTTCCCTTATCATTATTTATTACCTGGTCAGTGTTAGAGTTAGTAGGAATTTTTTTGAACACAAGTACTCCTTTTCTTTTTGCAAATACAGACTAACACGGCTGCTACTCTGAAACTTGAACAAAAACAAATCTTTTTGTCAAAAAAGTCCCTTTTTCTTTGTCAAAACTATTCACCAATTGTCTATACTTTCAAAATTTGATTTTTTTATGATTTGCTACATTAAAAATTTCAATCAACATTTTTGTTGTCATTTTCAGTACACTGTTTTTCCATTTTAAAGGGTTCAGTCAAGCTCAACGTGCCATTGTACTAGGTACAAACACCGGAGTTAACGATAGTCTCCGCCCTGAGTTTATAATCTAATTAGCTTGTCCTAAGTGGCTCTGATGTATGATGCAGTTATGAGGTGTTAAAGAGCTGCCATGTTCCACTCCAGAGATGGCTGCATTGCAAATGATGGGTGGATCTACTTCTAAATGTGTAAAATGCTGTGTGCAACTTCAGGATGAAAGCTATGAGATACAATGTAAGATGCTTGTTTCTGTAGTTTTGTTTGGACAGCATTAAGCACGCTGATGTTGCTCAAAAGAGTATTGTTTGTTGCTTCTAGGGCCTCACTATGCTCAGCACTGTGTAACAGACAGGAATGCTCATTCAAAACACTGCTAAAATAAAAGTGGGCACATTTAATCAATGAGTTGGCTAAGTTTTGTGATATTTAAATGTTTTTCATTAGCCACTTGTTTTAGGGGTGAACATTTGCAAAGATAGACCTGTATAACTATTTTATTTCAAGTACAAAGTGTTCCATTAGTCACCCAGTTAAAATCATCATTATCCAGATTGTGAGCTCTTTGGGCCAGGGACAGTGGCTTCTACACATGAGGATAGCCCCTTGCACATTATGGGTATTCCCAAGATAGAAATAATAAATCATGATACCGTTAGATGTTCACTGCCAGCATTTCTAGGTGGCTGAGCCTTGCACAACATGTCTCCTTATTTTACCAGGTTGATCCATTTGCTAATTTCCTTTGTCTTCAGCTAAAATCTGGATCTTTGCTGTGTTGGGGTTGGGTTTTTTTGTTTGTTTTGTTTTTTTGGGTGAGTAGCTTCTTTTCTAGTCAATGTGGTAGAGTAAGACAGAAGGCGGTTGCTCCTCTATCCTGGGGATTACAGTAGCTGCTGATGCCAATGATGAGTCAGAGTGTTTGGTGCTGATGTTGCTGCCATTTCATCAGCTCTGTGATCCCCAGCATCCCCTATTCGCCAGCTCTCCATCTTTACAACCCTGGGCATCTCTGCGACTAAAGTCCACACTGGAGGAAGGGCTACAATTCTTCTGGCTGCAGGGAAATGAAACCTCTTCTCTGGAGCTAGTCAGGTGCCCTTGAGGACCATCCCCTTGGTAATGCCTGCTTGGAGGCACAGAATAATAGAGCCTAGGAAGCCTTCTAGCATCGGGTTGTTTTTTTGTTTTAATCAAGATCGGACTTCCTGAGCCTGGAGGCTTTGATCTTCCTGTATGCAGGGTGGAGTCTGTTTTGGTGAGGGGTAACGAAGGGGGGGGATCAGAGCCTTTTCTTGGCGTCCTTCGTTGCTGACCTGGATTTAGGCTGCTGAGTTATAGCTCTAGATATTTGTGTAAACACTGGGGGGGGGGGGAGGGGGAAGGTTGGAGCCCTTGAATGAGAGCTGGAAATTCAATCCAACCCCTTTTCTGCTTTTGTATCTAGGCCAGCCACTGCCAAGTTCTTTTCAGTGAATTACAAACGCATTTCTCTGCAATTGCAAAAGGAAATACGGATCAGTAGCAAAATGCATGTCGGATCCTGATTTAAAAAGCAAAACAACAAGCTGGCGAAGGGGGAAATCTAGACTGGCTTGGGGCAAAATGGAGACCATCTGACCTTTGCATTTCCAGCAGAGACATCTTGCATGTGTGTTGCAGAACTGGAGGCAGAGGGAGGGGGGGGGTGCATTCCTGCTACCCGCCTCTCCCCCAAGAAGATTTCCCAGCAGCCAGAAACCATGACTGGACAGGGGAAGACGGATCCCATGCATTCTGAAGGCATCCCTGATCTCCACCTTCCACGCAGACCTGCCCTTGTAGCGCTTGTATTTCTCTCCTAAATCAGAGCTCCAGAACCCAGCAGCAGCGGTGAGACTGGGCCGCCCTCTGGTGGGCAGTGCGGGCGAGGCAGCGCGCCCTCTGGTGGGCAGTGTCCCTCCAGCGCCCTCTGCTGGGTGCCTCCCTTGGACCCGGCTGCAGGACTGGGAGCAGAACCGCGGGGCACCTGCTGGCCGCAGAGCCTCCATCGCATCCGCTCCGGGCTCGGCATGGGCTGTGAGGTGCGTGCCTTGTGCTAGGCGCTTGGCAGAGGCTGCATTGCACCGGGCGAGGCCAGAGCGGGGCGAGCCGCGGGGGGGAGCATGGAAGCGATTTGGCTTTACCAGTTCCGCCTGATCGTGATCGGAGACTCCACTGTGGGCAAATCCTGCCTGATCCGCCGCTTCACCGAGGGGCGCTTCGCCCAGGTCTCGGACCCCACGGTGGGCGTGGATTTCTTCTCGCGGCTGGTGGAGATCGAGCCGGGGAAGAGGATCAAGCTGCAGATCTGGGACACGGCCGGGCAGGAGCGATTCAGGTGAGAGGAGCGGGAGGGAAGGAGGGAGGGCCGGTGGGATCTGGTCGGCAGCCCGCCCGCCGGGAACCAGCCTGCAGATCTGCCGAGGGAAGCCCCGCCAGCCAGCGCCGCCTCCTTGCTCTGCCCTGGCCGGGCGGCGGAGCCTGGCCGCGGGGTGCACGGGCGGCCCGGGGGAGAGCAGCCGGCCCGCGCCAGGCGAGACCGCAAAGCTGGAGCCCACCCGCGGGCCTGGCTCAGGGCCCTTCGCCGCACCCTGGCCGCGGCCTCCGGGGGGCTGAGCTGGAGGGGATGGAAGCAGCTAGCCTGGGAGCCACCAGCGCCTGTGGGCAAGGCAGCGCCCACAGGCTGCAGGGGCCGCATCCCAGGCCTCCCTCTTTCCCTGTGACCCTAGGCGGGCCTGGGCAACCCTCTGACACTGGAGCAGGGAAGGCCGCAAGCCCCGCCCGGGCTAGAGCAAATCTAACTGGCCTGGCTGCCCCAGGGCTCGCCCCTAACGCAACCCTCGGACACCTGGACACGGAGAAAATGCTGGTCCCTGGTTGTTGGGCTGGAGACCAGAGCTGGCTTTTTAGGTGGAGGGAATCTGTAGATTTTCCCCTTTGGCCGGGGGTGTTGCCCAGCCCAGAGGGAATGAAATTAGCTAGCAGCTGTTCACCTTTTTCTATGAGGCCTTTGCCTTTTGCACAAAGAACTAGGTGGGTTTCCATTCAGTGAGCCTGCTCTGGTTTTTGACGCAACAGAACAATACGTTCAAACCTCAGAGGGGGAATGAATGAAATCGAAAGAGTTAGTACAATTCCAATTAGAAAAGCCAGCATTGTTCATATGTGACGGGTGAGAAATCAGGCCCTTGGAAGCCAGGAAATGCAGTTAATGCCTCTGCCTTGAAATATGGTCCCTTGGTGTCATTATGAATTATTTGTCCATTGATACTATTTTATGCAAACTGGAATTCTTAAACAGTATATCCAGCAGCAAGATGTAGCACCGAACATACCATCTTCAGACTTGATTTGTAAGTATCTGTGCAATATACTGAGCAAGCCAAAATTATAAATTGTAACACAGAGACTCAGATGTAGTTCCATTTAGAGCCAAATCCTGCTTGCTTTGTTCACGTCTGACTCCCACTGAAGTCAATGGCACAGAGAAGGTTTCGTCTTTAATTTTCTGCTGAGCCCAAAAAGATGTAGTGGGCAAAATACGCATTCTGAGCGTGTATCAACGTTTGCCCAAGTTATACAGAAGCATGCAGCCTCTCTCTCTGTACTGCGGAGGATGAATGGAAGATTTTGAAACATAACAAGGCTTGTTTGCCTCCACTGGCCCAAGTGAAAATAAATCAAAACAGATCTCTGCATGTTAGCTATGGGAACAGACATAAATGTTCACCAAGCACAGAAAGTCAAGGCAAATTCAGTGCAGATTGTTACCTTCTTCACATCAAAAACGCAGTTTAAGCAGGAAGGTGAAGGAAGAACATGGAACAGGCTGGTGTAAAGAAACAGCAGCCAAGCGTTTGTAACATGGTTGCCTAAAGTTAGGTTCCTACGACCTTAGCTGAGGCATCTAAATATGCAACTGGATTGTCAAAAGTGCAGCAGCTCCAGTGAAGGCTCTAGACTATGGGATGGAGATCAACCAGGCCAGTTCAAGGATTTTAGGCTGACTGTGAGTAACAGTTACCTTCCTACATATAGGGAGAGTACTGTGGTAGCATGCCTTGCAGCCTCGAGCACTGAATACTGAATGGGGACTAGTAATTTAAGAGACTAATTGGTAGCAAATGTGACTTCATTAGCAAAGAAAAGAACTATATGGGGGGATATCCACGGGATTCACTGCAGAACCATATGGTAAATTGCAGCCATGTGATAACTGTATTTATCATACCTCTTTCACCTGCACTCTGCTCACTCATCCAACTTCCTGGTGGGCCACTTCCAGCCTTCCAGACCTCTGAGCAGCTTCAAAAAGCTGCCGTTTTTTGTTAACCTGACTCAGAAATATTTCAGTGGCTGAATCCCTCCCTCCATTTGCTCACATGACACTGGCTGTGGCCCGGGATAGACAATGTTCAGTCCTTAGCAAGTGACATGTTTAAGGTCTGATATCTTGCATCCATTCAGGGCTAGAAACACCAGATTTATACCATTGGGAGAGGGCAGTTCCCAGCCTTCAGTTGATACAGACTCTGTCCTTACAGCTTGGAATGTAAAGGTGACCTGTTAAGGAGTTTTTTAAAAATGAGCTTATGCCACTGCGCCCCCCACCCCCCATGCTGCATAAAGAAGGCTTGAAAGATTTTCCCCCTACAATAATTTTTCCTTGCTTTAAAGCCTTAGAAATAGTGGGAATACTGAGGCTGCTTACCCTTTGTTTTATGCACAACTCGAATGCTAAATGGGGGCAAATTACACCACTCAGCTACTTGTCCCCTGATTCTAGCCCATTTACAGCTACTGCTGTTCCACCCATTTGGCCCACCGATTCTTGAATCTTGATTAGCTTCTCTGCCTGTTCTGCTCTACACCTGGGCAGGAGACTCCCAGCTGGAGGCCATCGCTGATTGAAGCTTTCCCGTCTCCTGTAAGTGGCTGGAAGGCTACCTGATGGAATTAGACAGCTGGGCTGCAGATGGCCACACAAATCTTCACATAACACAGGTTGCAAAGTCTTTTGTTCTTGTTAATGGTACACAATCGCTTGGCCTTCAGCAATACCTTCAAGGCAAAAAGACATGAAATCACAGAATTACAGACATTTGGGCTAGCAAACCAGCTAGGTCCACGCTGGGTAAGACTTCTCCACAGCATATTGTGCATCTCAAAAGTTGGCCCCATACGGCTTTCCAAGCAGCCAGCCTGAGTCAGTGCTTTCCCACAGACCATGTTGTTTTGGGCCCTGATTTAGCAAAGCACTCAAGCATGTGCTTCACTTTGACTGAGCCACTGACTTCAGTGGAGTTGCTCCTGATTTACACCAGAATAACTGAGATCAGAATCAGGTCCAGGAAGAGCATTCCAGGATGCTGGAAGTATCCCTAACTCTAACCCTAATCCAGGTCCATGAGCAGCACAGCTACAAAACCAGAGGAAATAACCCAGCAGCCATAGCCATGAGATCAGAGTGACCTTATTTTCATCTTTGTCTTTAATACTACCCTAAAAATTACTTTTCCCACGTATGCAAACAATGGAGTTGCTGTAGCGAAGACATGGAAGCTGGGGTTGGCAGGGGGTGTGTCCATGAAAGGGAATCTGAGCCAGAGACTTGAGAGGGCATTGATTATCTATAGCATAGGCAAGAAATCCTCCTTCTTCTCAGTTCTCTTCTCTCTCTGCCCTGTGGCTCTTCTCCCATCACGCTACAGCAGTGCTGCTTGCTGTTGATAAAGCAAAACTTGGAAGCCCCAAATAGTCATTTGTGGGGCAGTTTCTCTGGATACACGAAGATTTTGCAGGACCCACTGACTCCTCACTATGATTCTGGTTGCTCTAGATTAAGAAATCAGTGCCTGTCCCACGATAAAAGAGCAGCAATACGTTCCGTCATGAAATAGGACGATCCCACAAAGGAAAGAGCGTTCAGGAGCATGACCTTCTCCAGGGAGAAGTGTATACTTGCTTCCTGATTGACAGCGGATCCCTTAATCTGCACAGAAAGCAGCAGTCAGCAATCATTCTACAGCTTCTTTGGCATTTACTCAAGTTTAGTTGTCATCAAAATGTAAATCTGCTCGGGCTAAATTTCACGGGCTGGTTTTGTAGTAGTTCCGTTTACAGCATGAATACTACACAGATTGGCTTGCTCTCACGTCACAGTTCTAGCTGCACGTGCAGCTGCCCTGACTCACAAAGCTCTTGTAAGGTGCCTCACGGTTCCCAGCATGTTGTTTTTTGCAGCAGTGAGAACAGAGAACCTGTGAATGGTCAGACCTCAGGCATGTAAGGACACAAGTCCATTGGCATTTGATATTTTCCACTAGATGCCTAATAGCAAAAGCAGTGAAGCAAAAGCAGGTGCTCGACTGAATTGGGGCCTAAATCAGTAGAAGGTTCAAGTACCTATGCCGTAATTCAGTGGAGCTGGAAACAAAAGTAAGAGGCCTAATGCCAATCAAAGTGCCCTTCTTACACTTCGTTGTAAGCTTGGGCTTGTTCCATCAGGCAAATCAGCCCACATGAGTGTTAATGTAGGAGCCATTCTTTGTGGGACTGCCTGAGCCAAGTTCTTTTGAAGGCAATGGAGAGACTCCTATTTGACAGGAAAGGGAGTTGGGTCAGACTCTTGTATGCCATATATTGTACAGAAAAGAAAAACAACACTCATTTTAGTAATGCCTGGGGATTGTAAAACATTTATAGGGGCCTTCGTTTTTCATTCTCCACCTGAAAATCCAGGTGCTTCAGTTACCATGGGCCAGATCCACACAGGGGACTTAGGCTTAGTATTGCAATGCCTAACTTTAGGTGCCCTGCTGCCCACTGGAGTCCTCAGTCCCCAAGCTCCCTAGACAATGCAGATGGAGAGTCAGGAGCCTAAGAATGGGAGCCAGAAGCCAACACACTGAGCAGGGAGCCACCTAAGCTACCCAGTAGGAGGAGGCCTAAGCCCTGCCCCGACAAAGGTGGCTAGATGCCTCCCTCCACTCAGGATTCACAGCCAGGAACCCTCTCCTGCAGTAGGTGCTTAAAGCAGGTTAGTCCTTTCTCATGAACATGTGAGGGGAAGAAAGTGACCCCCTTTTACCCTACAGTCCACTGGTTAGAGCACTCAGCCAGGGTGTGGGAAACCCTGCTTCTGCCCCCACTCTGTCTGATCAAGAGCAGGGACCTGACCCCAGGTGAATGCCCTAATCACCAGGCTAAGGTATTCTGGGGGGCGGTTGTCCCACTTCAGGGCAACTCCATCTCTATTTCCCCATCATGGTGCACCAAGGGCACCCACTGTAGGCTTCCAGCTCCTCAGCCATCACCTCTCTTGGGCAGAGACCACATCTCTGACTATGGCCCTCCTGACTGGGATTTTTCCAGGCTGCACAGTTCCCTATCTGCCCTGTGATATCCCCAGACAGCTTAACCAGGCCAACATCTGCATATTCCATTGTCTTCAAAGCCCATGAGCGGCTGTAATGGTCAACAGTTACAAGTTACCCCATAGCTCTTTCTAAGCAAGCACATTTATTCTTAAGGTAAAAGCATTACAGAGAAAACATTAACAACAATACAGTTTATTAGCATGCTTGTAGGTTCTTTATTAACAATCACTACCCCAGTGCCAACAAGGGCTCTGGTAGGTGCCAGTCCTTCCAAACCCATCAAGGGGTTTTTCTTTGGTTACAAGTTCATAACCACCTTAGCTCAGAACCAGAACAACCATGAATAGTTCCAGCATTCCTGTGTCCAGCTTGGCCCTTTGATCTGGGAACATGTAATCAGCAGACAACAGTCCTCTCCTCAGGGCAGAGCTTCAAACGGCTGGGTTTTTGCATAACTGGACCTGGGGACTTTGCCTTCTCTTCCCCCTAGTGATTCCCCAGGAAATCCATGTCATACCTATTGTCTCAAAAGCCTATTCTTGTCTGCCACATTGTTCAATGTAGCCCCGAATAATATTCACCTTTGCATGTAATACAATGGACTCCAAAGACACAAACTTAATTCAATAAGGTTTGCTGAGGATATTGCAGGAAGGGGCCATACACATCAGACATCTCTCCTGTTGAAACTGTTCCGCGTTGTATAAAATACCTAGCTAGTCCTTGGAGCAGGGGACTGGAACCTGGGGCTACGGGGAGAATGCACCAACCCCACGGCTATAGAGTCATTCATTCTCTGGCCCAATGACTTTTTAAGTATTTTATACAAAGTGAAACAGCTGCAACACAAAAGATCGAGTGAGCCCACCCCAGAATACCCGACAGCCCCGTGGTTCGGGCACTCGCTCCCCCCTTAGGCAGACTGAGGATTTTTATTCGGGTCTTAAACCTCCCAGGTGAGTGCTCTAATCACTCCATCTCTGTCAGCAGTGGCAGAGCTTCGATGGATTTGCATATGCCTTCGGGCAGAGACTTTAGCAGTGGAAACTTCGGTGCCCAGGAACTTGGGCTGCCTCCAGGGTTAGGCAACAACTGAGCAGGGGGTTGAGGGCTACATTTTGAACTTAGGTGCCAAAAGTGGCAGTTAGGAGCGTAAAGTCTTCTGTGGCTCTAGCCCCGTGAGTTCAAGTCTTGCAGGGCAACAAAAATTATAACGAACAAATAGTGCTGGTACCAGTATACGGAAAAAATTAACATTTTTGACCAAAAAAAAAAAGTGGAATTTGTTCCCCATATTTTCAACCAGCATTATTATTAAACTGTATCATTGCTAACAATCAATAATATCCCTGTCCCCAAGTTGCTTCAAGTAGATGTGGCCCCAGAGAGCGGCTTGAATGTTCCTTAGCAACGTGTTGGCGCTTATAGCAGCCGTAAGAGAACAAAAGCGTGCCTGTGCGTGCAGATGATGCCTCTGATTTTTCACAATGTTTCTAGGCTCCAGCTTCCAAGTCTACTGCAGGCCATTGAAAACGCCCTCTTTGCCTTACAAAAAGCTAAAACCTGCTGAGTGCTTGGTTCCAAGAAGACCCCTTTTAAGGAAGGTACATGGTGTATGGTACAGTGTCTCTTAACATGAAGTGACTTGATCGTGGAGTAGCTGGGGAAAAGACTTCTGAGATGGCAGACAAAGGCACAGCAGGAGCCAATGACTGAAAGCTGAAGCTAGACAAATTCAGAGTAGAAATAAGGCAGTAATTTTAACGGTGAGGGAGACTAACCATTGGAACAAGCTATCAAAGGAAGTGGTGCATTCTCTGTCATTTGAAGTCTTTAAGTCAAGATGGGCTGTCTTTCTAAAAGAGATGCTATAGCCCAAACAGAAGTTGTGGGTTTGAAGCAGAAATTATCAGGTGAAATTCTTTGGCCTGTTATGCAGGAGGTCAGACTACATGATCGTAATGACCCCTTTTTCACTATAAATCTTCAAACCCAACTACCTGCTAACAAATAGAGCTGGTCAAAAACGTTTGGGAAAAGGAAAATTTCAGCCACCACCAACAAAAGGACAAAACTTGCCCCCAGAATGTTCAACTTCTAAAATGATCTTTACTTTCTTGTTGGGCGGGGGGGTTCTTTTTCAGATCCATCACCAGAGCCTACTACAGAAACTCAGTAGGCGGGCTCCTCTTATTTGACATTACAAACCGCAGGTCCTTCCAGAACGTCCATGAGTGGCTCGAAGAGACAAAGGTGCACGTCCAGCCATACCAGATTGTCTTTGTTTTGGTAGGTCACAAATGCGACCTTGACACACAGCGGCAAGTCACTAGACACGAGGCTGAGAAACTAGCTGCTGCATACGGCATGAAGTACATTGAGACATCTGCTCGGGATGCCATTAACGTGGAGAAGGCCTTCACCGACCTGACTCGAGATATATATGAGCTTGTTAAAAGGGGGGAAATTTCGATCCAGGAAGGCTGGGAAGGGGTAAAGAGTGGGTTTGTACCGAACGTAGTGCACTCTTCAGAAGAGGTGGTGAAATCAGATAGGAGATGCTTGTGCTAATCACTTCTAGTGAGAAAAGCTATGATGAACTCTACTAATCAAACATACTCTACTAAGTGAACTCAGTGTGACGGAAAGGGATTGTAACTCTAGCATGGTGAATGGCCTCACACGTTGTTTTGGACACCAGAGGAACAGAACCAGGAAAGCAATGGTCCGTTCCAAATAACCTCTTTCAGAATTGGGGGGGCTACAAACCTATGTGAGAATGAACAAAGGTGCATGTTTATGTTGTAGGAGACAGGAGGCATAAGAACAAGAGAGGATCTGAATGAGCTGGTACAGAACAGGGAATTTTACATGTACTGTTTTTGTGTGCCATGTGTTGAAGCCACAGTCTGAAAAGTCTATTAATACAATACACATGAGAGGAGAGAGAAAATCTTGGTTTGCATCAACAATTTATTTCCAGGAAGATTAGAATATAGCGTGGTTGCCATTCATGAATGTTACTTCCAGGGTTAACTCAAAAGAAATATATTTTACAGATATGGCACACACACTTTTGGGGCTTCATGTTCTTGTACCTCGTTAAAACATAGACTAAGACTATAGTATGGTACTTTAACAGGAAAATAAGGGTTATTTTATTGATAACTAAAACTTAACCATCACCATCCCCCTGAAGAGGGGTGTTTTCCTTGCCCTGCCTAGCTGAGACTAAGGGCTAAGTCCAGCATGACAGCTCCAATTATAATTATCAGATGACTTTATAAATACTTATTATCTCTCTCCATGATTTTAGTAGAAGTACCTCGACTATATGGATTTCCAATATAATTAACAGATCATGAGTATAAAGCTTCCTAAGTGTATCCTCACATCCAGTATCTCACAGCTGGGTCAAGGTAACCAGTGATTAGCAGCCAGGTGGGGAATGCAGATATTTCTGTCTTACTGTCAGAAGTAGGGTGATGTTGGCAGCATTTCAGTGTAAACTTACATTGCTCCTTAGGAAAAAAGGAAAGAACAAAAGAAAACTAAAAAGATTTAAAGCAAGAGCATCATACATCCCTGAAGGTGGAGTTTTCTTTTAAAGAACAAGGGAAAGAGCTGGGTCCAGTACTGAAAGCAGGGGCTAGGGGCAGCAGTCTCTGCTCTTATTGTGTTGCTTTCTTTACTGGCATCTGGGGAAGAAGAGAAATAGGAAGTGGAAGGAGGGGTATAGAGCTAAAGTGTCTGAGAGGGTGAAAAGGGAAGAAGAGAGAAGCATAGGAGAAAAAGTCTTCTCTTTGTTTTATTTATATTCTACCCAAGATGGGGCCTACACTGGGCAGGTAGCTGACTTTAAAAGGCTATAATTAAATGTCTGTTTTCTGGGAACACCATCTACCATTTCAGCTTTGCTTCGTGTAAGTACTGTATTAACTAAAGCTTTTGGAATGCAGAAGGGTAACAATGCGCCTGCATTGTGCCGAGGAGGATCAACATGTTAGCAAAACGTAAAGTGACATTTATTCAAGTTTGTGAGTTTTACAAGCCAAACTGTTAATTTGGTTATGAGGGATTAGGCAAACCACATAAGAGATCCAGCATTTGAATACAGGCCTCCAGGTAGACAAGAATAAAGTACTTCTAATTGCTCCTCTAAGGTACCATGTTCCATAAGAGTATGATTTCTGACAAGTTGAATCTGTCTCTCTTCAGATCCGTTCTTGTAGTTTGTACTATTTGAGCCCAATAGTATCATAAAAATAACAAGACCATTGCTTAAGTATAAAAGCTGTAAACAAATTAAAATGAATAATATTTTACCTTTAAATTTTCTAGTAACATTTGCAATCCTTGAGCTCAGCAGGTGAGAGCCAACATGGTATGCCACTGTGAATTCATAGCCAGCGAACGTAGATCTAGAGGATATTGAAATGGGGGTTGGCTGTGGGAAATGATACAGCCTTTTACTTCTGAATACCAATGGTCAATCTTGATTAGGTCATAACTGTACTCAGTTTGCTGACCTAACTCTAAGACCCCCATTCAAAGTGGTCTCAGATTTTCTTAGTTTAAACAACAATCTGTCTTAAATATAGAGACTTTGGTTTAATCAAGTAATACTCTGTGAACATCGAAGGAAGTAAAACTTTTGGGGCCTATCATGTTTCCTGTATCAAAGTCTCATGAGCCAGCATAGCAGGATCTCACTAATGGGGAAAATGATTGAGCTTTTCACTGCATTTCCTTTTCTTTTTTTGTTTAAATGATAAAAAAAATCTACATTTCGGTAAGTGGGGTTGGGTTTTTAGTATTTAAATATAAAATTTAGAAAAGTCATAAAAAAGCTTGTCCAGGCTTTGAGTAAGCCTTGAATTTGTATTGTAAGTATAGTTCAAAAAAGGTACAGTCTGAGGACAAAAATCTGTGCTATCTGAAACTAACTACTTAAAAATAATGAAACAAAAGGAAATGGTTAATATTGAATAAAAGAGCATTGTGTTCACCTGTTTTCTAATTCCTTGCATTTTCTAGGCAGCTTATAAAAACAATAGACAACGTAATACAGTCATGTGTACAAGTCTGGGCTGTTTTTTCTTTTTCTGAAATGAAAAACCTTATAGGCTTTGATAAACATTCTTTTCTAACAACTGGTTTTAGTGCTTTGACTACTGCAAGAGGCATTAGAGAAATCAGATGGTGGTATCATTCAAAAGAAACATCCAGGAGTTTTTACTCTAGGACAAAGGAAAACAAAAACTTTTTGTGGCACAGGTCACAGATTTAAAACAATCTGCATGTTGGACTGGAATTTCGCAGAACCTCCAGAATAAAGTATACTGTACACTTTTCCTTGCTTTCTGTTATGCACTGTAATGAAATGTGGAAAAAAAAACCCTCGCTGTATTTAGCTGTATGTGAATGAAACATGCTTGTATTTAGCAAAATTGTTAATGTGATTATGTGAAATTCAAATCTTGTAAAGAAAAACTTGTGTTTTTTTCCTTCCCCCGCACTCCCATTCTTCATCAGTAAGCCATCTAGTAACTCCGTACTTCTACACAGCAACCAGGACTGAAAATCCAATACAAAATAATAAACAACATGCACTCTGTTTACAACAAATCTACCATGCATTTTCTCTTAACGATGTGTCTTTCGGTAGCCAATATTTAAGATGCGCTCATTGTCCTTGTGGAAAAAAAGTCAATAGGGGTCTATCAAAAGTCAATACAGCTCTACAGGATTTATTTAAAAAAATCCATTGGGTTTTTATAATTCATTGGTTCACAGCCAGTGACAGTTACAGTAGTTATCCACAATATTAAAGCACCATATGCCAGGTCCTCAGCTGGTGTAACTTGTCCTAGCTCCCCTGACTTCAGTGAAGCTAGAACACATTCTACCAGCTGCTGATTTGTCCCCATATAAAGCAAAGAGAACTTGAGACTATAAATATAAGAATGAGACTAAATAGCCAGAATCTGCAGTGTTAGACCATCTGTAGGTATTTTCCTTCAAAGCACCATTATTTAATATCTAGGATTTGCAATCAAATCCTAAAGAACGGTTTAAAAACAAAAAACAGAGCAAGGTTATCATTGTCTGTAGGCTGTATGCATAAGGATATATTCCACCGTTCAGAGACCAGTTAGCCTGGAATGGGGAGCAGTTCAGAAACCCCTTAGCAGGTCTATGTTTAGTGGAGAGACATTTTATAAGTTTACTTAAAGGTTTCAATCTCTTTTCAGGGTGGCCCCCACTGCTTGCACCATGAACAGAATGGCTCTGCTTGCTCCTTATGCTTAAACAAATTCTCAGGATTGTGTGTTAGGTGCAACCGGTGGGGATACTGTTTGGGTTTTATTGCTGATCCCTCTCTACTCCAAAGCACTAGCTAATAATAGGTTTGCTGGCTTGTAAATGTTTAGCTTGACTTTTTACTGGGCATGGTGGAGAAATGCAATCACTGCCTTGAAGCCATCCAAAAAGAGAGCAGCTTTACAAGAGGCAGAAATTCCCGATGTGAGACTCATACTAATCCACTGTGTGGGAGAGGATGCTGGGGCAGAACAGTGGAAAACTGCATGGGCCTGCAGTTGCCCCTCACTTCACCAGAAACATCATGTGATTCCTTCTCATCTTTTGGGCCGTTCCACTACCTATGGCTGCCAGCTCAAGCAACAATCCACTAACCCCTTTCTTGTCTACTGCTGCATTCAGCATAGAGAAGGAGCAAACATAGTCTGGCACAGAGAGATGAGCCAAGCCTGAGCATGCTGCAGCTGGCAGTGACTGGGGGCAATGGGGCTAGGAAAGCAGAACAAACAGCAGAAGCTTCCTAATCCCATTAGCGATAATTACCCCATTCCAATGGCCAAAACACTCCCACTCTGCGTACTCACTTCCTCTCTTGCATCTCTTAGCCTCTTAAAGCTAGAGGTAGGCAACTAATTCCTAACAGTTTATCCAATGAATTTTGCCCCATCTCTGCTAATTAGATCACCATGCCCCAACAGACATAGTCTGCAAATGCTGTGCACCAAATTCCTGCAGGTAATTCTTGGGAGATGGCTTGTAGGGGACCAGCCTGGCACAAGCATTCACAAGTCACGCTAGGAGGGTAGTTCTGAATGGACATGTATATAAAATCCATCTGGGGAGAGAGTCAAGGAGGGTGGGTAAACCACAAGCTTCCTTCCCCCAGCTCCCAGCCCCTGAAGAGGCAGTCACTTACTAGGAGGTTGGAGTCAGGAAGCAGAGTGAGGGCAGTGGCACCTAAGCTGTCTGCACCGTTTGGCATCACGTGCTCTTCTCCAGGATCACATAGGTAGTGCAGGCCACCACAAAATCCTTGCTACTGTGTCCCTGTCCCAGTGCCACCGCTGATACGGATCTCCCTGGCAAGTACAAGGGAGAAATGCTAAGCAGAATAGCCACCAGTACTCCCGGTTTGACTGCCAGCTTTTGAACCCAGGCCAAGGAACTGCTGCCCCTGGCCTAGACAGCAAGCTAATCAGCAACTTCCTGCCCCCAGGGCATGGGCTGCTCCTATCAGAGGCAGTTTGCTCCCAGCTCTGGTCCTCTGCGGATTGTTCTAGAGCCACACTCCAGCTACTCAGCTTATCAGCAGCCTGAAGCTGGGAGCACTGGAGAAAGTTAATTAGCAGTCAGCAGAGAAGCCTGCATTCTGGGGACAAAAAGTCAGCCACCATGATGGGCCAAGCATGACAGAGGAAGCCGGGGGGAAGAGGAACACCAAGGGAGAAACGAGAGCCAAAGGTTAACTGAAGAAAGGGAAGGAGTGGAGGGAATTAGGAGGGAGCTGGAAGAGAAATGAGAAACTGCTTCCTTTACAGTACAGAAGAAGGAAGTCAGTTGAGGTGAAGCAAAAAACATCAGGTACAGAGAAAAGAAAAAAAGGACAAGAAACAGGTAAGATGCAACAACTGCAATAGCTATGGCATGCCCAGGTACAGATCATAAATATGGGTCTTGATCTCAGAAAGGTTAGGAACTAGTAGATAATTTAAATCAGACTCTCACTGGAAACCCTGGGTATATATATTTAACTTTTGTGCTCTTTTAGTAAGAAAGTAGGATCTCTTGTCAGTGACCTAGAGAGTGCAGTCTACTTGCCTATCCTCATCTCCTTGTGGATGGTCCACTGATTTGTTGAAATGTGATAAACACTGAACTCTTCACTTCCTTCTCCTAATCTGTCTCCCCAGCTCTCAAACTTGAGATCATGGAATTAGCTTGGACTACTCCCAATCAGGAGACTGCCAAATTGTAGCTGGGGCCTCTAACATTAATACCTATCCCTTCTACATATTCAGTCCTCAAATCCTGCTTCCCACCATGGAAGTGTCTCCTCGGGGCTACAAGTAACCTCCTCCTGTCGGGGGGAGGGATAGCTCAGTGGTTTGAGCATTGGCCTGCTAAACCCAGGGTTGTGAGTTCAATCCTTGAGAGGGCCATCTAGGGATCTGGGGCAGAAAATTGGGGATTGGTCCTGTTTTGAGCAGGGGGTTGGACTAGATGACCTCCTGAGGTCCCTTCCAATCCTGGTATTCTATGACACATCTCTTCCCTCTTCAGTCTAGCCAATTTCTTTACCTGTTGCTTCACCCAAGTTTCTCTTCCCCCTCCAAGGGACTGAAGAGTTATACGAGTTTAGGTGCAAGACTTGTAATCTTACACTGAAAAAGAAAGATTCACAGAAGAGATGTTTGCCACAAGTGTTGAGTTTCACTATTTTAATATCATGAAATAAAAGTACAAAAACTTTACAGGTATATTGTTTATTACATGAAGATAGAACAGTTAACATTTGCATTTATTTTCTAGCAAAACCTGTATTACCAGTCACTCAGCAGTGTAAATACTAACCACTAATTTCACCACCATGTGTGCATTCTGTTTTAGGAGGAAACTGCAGAGGTAAAGGCAACAATCTTGTGAGGCTTCATTATAACTGAAAAAAATATTCAGCCTGTTTACAACAGAAGCTGTGCTCAAACAGACCGTCCATATTTAATACAGGTTTCACCCAGGAGGCTTTGCAAAAGTGTTAAGACATTTGAACTAGTCATCATCTTGTCTCAGGGCTGTAAGTGGGGATTTTCTTGTATTATAGGATATTAGCATTTTGAAGTCCTAGTTCTATATATTTGCAAAGATAAACAGTGTGCGTGTATGTGAACGGGGCCTGGGGTGAGACGATGTGCAGTCTTGACATAGCTTGTGCTGTTTATTGAATGAAATCCATGAATTGTTCTATTCTGAAGACAGATCATGAACTGTTGTATGTAAAGTGCAGAAAATTCAGTAGCTATCAGTTGGCTAACCCAAACGTGATTAAAATCAAGTTTATCCAAAGTGGATCTCTGGGAATGCTTATAGGTTGATGTTGCCAAAGCAGTAGTTGACTAAGAAACAAAACCCAGGATTTCACTGTATTTTCTCTGTTTGCTAAAATATCAGCCACATGTCTTCCCCACCCTCAAGTTATTTTTAACCTCATCAAGTGTATACAACACATCAGCAAACATGAAACAAGTAAACCCTTACATTACAATAACCTTATAAAATGTCCTAAACTCAATTTCATACATGCACCTCACATTTTTAGACAAACCTTCAGGTAAAGAATTTACTTATGACAAACAGATTGAACTGGTCAAAAATGCTATGTCCTTTGTTGGATCATGTGGTATCCTTTCAAATAATTCATAATTTCATGAAGCATGCATGAAACCAAATTGTGAGTTTACAAATAAATAAAATGGCGCTCACCATTATTACTGATTTTATATATTTTATCATTTATCGAAATGATTAACTTAACTCAGTCCCTTAAGGATGAATTTTGGGGGTGTTTAAAATAAAAATATTTGGAAATCGTAAGCACATTTAAAATTGTTAGAACTATGCTTTGTTTTTGGAAGGGTCATCCTTGTTTCTTCTCTTTACGTCCCAATTATAAACTCTAGCCATATCTGAGGGTATAGTTAAGGAAGCTGCTATAATGCAAAAAGAGATAACTAATTGCAGAACCACCCATGTATGTTCAATCCAAGTTAATCTTGCTTGTTTCACTGATGCATGACAGACAATATAGAAACCGATTAACAGAACAGTTGACTGCAGTGCAGAACCTTGATGCTGTGGAAATTGTGACAACTGACAGGGCAGCTATACATGGTCACTACTCATGGTCACTCCCCTGTTCAGAGGATCTACATGCTAACAATTACATATTTTTGCACATACATTTCTCCCTTCATATTTACTTCCACTCCTATGTGCCAAAGCTAAAACTGCTTCCAGTTACAACTTATCCCTTTTTGGTTGCAATGTTTACCTATTTCAGCCATTCATGACTTTATTCAGCACTGAATGTCCTTTAACATTGGCAACATTTGAAACCCTAATAGCTCCCCTCCAGTACTAATAAATAGCTAAAGTATCAGTCTTCAACTAGGTAAATAATCTGTGCTCATTGCTAAAGGCAGGTCTGAAGCAGACAATCCAAAAACATAATGGAAAATGAATGTGATACGATCAAGACTCCCCAGAGAGGTTCGTTAACATGGTTCCAGCACTGGCTTTCTTGCTCACAA